TCATGCCAAATTTCATATAAAAGATCTTGGTCCTCTCAAATATTTCTTAGGTCTTGAAGTTGCTCGATCCAAGACAGGTCTAATTTTAAATCAAAGAAAATATTGCTTGGAATTACTTTCTGAATCAGGAATGCTTGACTGCAAGCCTTCTTCTACACCTGCAGATCCTTGTGTCAAGCTTCATGCTAATCAAGGTACTTTAATTTCAGACCCTTCTCCATTCAGAAGACTTATTGGCAGATTACTATATTTGACCAATACTAGGCCTGACATTGGCTTTGCTGTTCAACAGCTCAGTCAATTTGTTTCCTGTCCAAGAGAACCACATATGCAGCAAGCTATGAGAATTCTTAAGTACTTGAAGAATGCACCTGGTTCTGGTCTCTTTTATCCATCCAATACTCCTCTTAAGATACAGGCTTTCTCAGATTATGATTGGGCAACTTGTGCCACAACCAGAAGATCGGTTACTGGTTATTGTGTCTTTTTGGGAAAATCATTAGTTACTTGGAAGTCAAAGAAACAGTCTACCGTTTCTAGGTCCTCTTCTGAAGCTGAATATAGGGCCCTGGCTTCACTGACTTGTGAACTACAATGGCTCCCAAACTTGTTTAATGATCTGCAGATTTCTGTTCCAGTTCCTTATTCTACATTCTGTGATAGTCAATCAGCAATATAAATTGCCAAAAACCCAACATTTCATGAAAGAACCAAGCATATAAAGGTTGATTGTCACCTCATTAGACAACAAATTCAAGAAGGCCTTGTTACATTGCTTCATGTTCCTTCTGCAAATCAATTGGCTGATGTGTTCACAAAATCTCTTTATCCTAATTCCTTCAAGCTTGCTGTTTCCAAGTTGGGTCTGCATAATATACATGCCCACCTTGAGAGGGGGTATTAGAGATAGAATGATTTCTTCATTCTGTTTCATTCTGTTTTCTTATTCAGTTAGGATAATTTTAATTAATTAGCTAAGATTCAGTTACTTTCAGCAATTAGAATAATTTGTTATTCTGTTCTTAATATAATCAGTTTCTTGAGTTATATATAAGACTCTTAGCCTTGTATCTTATACACTAAATCAATATAATCATTGACATTCATAAATCTCTTTCTCTCTCTATTCTTTGATACTCACAGTAACTCTAAAAGAAAAATTTATAATATTCAAAATGAATTACTAATAAAAATAATCAACAAAAGTTGAAGTCAAACTTTTAGCATTTTTTTTAGTATACTTACACTCCATGAACTTAAAAATCTCATCCATATTATTCTAATTATTGACTACTAAATTAATCTTAGCTAGTAACTCAGATGTTATAAATTTAACAATATATACTAAACATCAATCTATTTTTTAATTAAATTAACTCAAAATTTTATAGAAAACTAATTAAGTTCTTTCCACTTAAACTAAATAAATATATAAGTAAATACGAGAAATTATCTGTTTTTCCCTTGTATCGTGTGAAGGTGATTTAATAAATAAGTAAAAGATAAAAAATAAAATTAGCATTTTTTTTTTTATAATTATCAATTTATCCTTAATTTTTTTAAAAAATTAATATGTCTTTACTTTTTTTAGCTCCAGATTGTAATTCAATCACTAAGTGGGTGGTATACCGGAGTAAAAATCCTCTCTCCATTTTTTTTTTCTCTCTCTCTCTCTCGTTTTTTTTTTTTTGTCATGATTTTGTGGTCATATTAGAGGTCACGTTACTGGAGACCATATAACGTCTAGGGCTTACTGGCCCATATAAGGTTTAGGTACCTTTTAAAGAAGCCTGTTATTTTTATATCCTTTATACGCTCACGCCACAATTTTTTTAAAAGATCCTCATTTAAAAAAAAATTGTTTTAATAATACAAATTTATATACTAAAAAATACTAATAAAAATATACATACAAAATTATTATTTTCTTTTGAGTGTAAAATAAGTATTTTTAAGTTACCTAAAGTTTGTATATTTAATTAAAGGTAATATCTTTACGACAGATGTCGTAAAGTATTGACATAATCTTTACATGAGATGGTTCTCAAATTCCAAATTATTTTTAAGTATTATTAATTTTTTTAAAAATTATAATATTTTCTCTAAAAATAAATCTTAAGTCCCTGTTTTTTTGTTTTTTTTTTTAATTTTCTCGTCATGTTGTGATTTGTAACCCACGGTTGCGAACTAAGATAGTTAGACTCACACCAAAAATCAATTTGATACCAGTATTTGATAGTAATGTCCAGCCTAAATGTTTATGATAATAAATTATATATAAAAAAATATTATATTTAAATATATTAATTATTGATAATTTACTTTACAATTATTAAAATTTAATTTATAAATAAATATGATATATAAAAATTGAATTAGATAAGAAATTAAGAAATTTTTTAAAAATTTTTTTGTCAAATTTATTTTAAAAAATTAAAATTTAATTTAAAGATAAATATGATAAATAAAAATTAAATTATATAACAAGTTAAAAAAATTCTTAGAAACACTTTTTAAAAAAAGTTTCCAAAAATACTCTCATAAAAATAAAAATATGTATTTAATATATAAAATTTGATTAAGTTCATCGAGAACAAACTGCATGACAAATCCTTGCTGTACTAGAATGTCCATTCGTGTTTGAAAAATATAATTTTTTAGGAAAAAAATATCTGATATTTGTTAAAGTTTGACTTAGTTATAGTTTTGTGTATTGTGATAATTTTAGTCGCTGACATTTAATTCCCATAGTTTTGTAGTTGTTCAAATTAAATTCCGTGCCCTAAATTTCATTCAATAATTGACATAAATCTATGTAATTGATGAATGTGAAAAGAATTAAAGAATTGTTTGTATTTTCTTACACGCATGGTAATTGGTGAACTTAACAGAAAAAGAATTACATGAGGAAGAATTAACTAAACGAGTGGAAGAAAGTTTCATTTCTTGTTGTCCTCTTCTTGAGCCACCTCTTCCGCAAACACAGTTCGAACCCTGAATCGTTCGTGCTTGTCTTCAAGAGGCTGCTGAAGGCCACGAGAAGTGGTGCCTTGGGTTTCTTCAACATATCTCTTCCTATCTTTCGCCAACACTTGTTCCAAAACGCGATCCACTAGCTTATCAACAAGGGCTACTTTCTTTTCTCCTTCCTCTTCTTTAGCCATGTTGAAGCTCGTGTCATAACTATTCGTGGGTCTTTCTGGTCTAGGAAATTCATTTAGGACCATCTTTAATTTTCACCTGCAGCAGTCAAGGGCATTAATAGTTTTAATGCGAGGTCTCAGAAACGATCTTGTTAAATTGGCTGGTTGGGTTGTGAGAGAGTGACAAAAGATAAACGATGATGCAAGTTTGGTATAGCAAGACTTGCATGTAATGTATATATAGGAATTGGAGACTGCGTTCTGAATTATGGGACTTACGTGGAAATGCCACCAACGAGTTTACAATTCAAATACTTTTAAAATTGATAGGGTCAAAGGAAGACCTTGTCATGCATGCAGACTCGATCCATCATTTTCATTCCTTGCGATGTGGACCAATGACATGGCATCATTCATGACCAACACAAACGTAAACTACCAGCGACTTTCTCCAAAACTTCCACCAAGTTCATGTGCTTTTTTTCCAACAATATTTTCAACACAAGAAAAACTCATTCATTAGATGACCTTCAACATGACTTACATCAAACATGAGAATGTAAAAATAAATAAATAAAAATTGTAACGTTTCCTTTTTTAAAGGTTAAAATCATGTATGACATTTTTTCTTGTCTGTTAAAAAAAAAAAAAGAAGAAGAATTTTAACATTTTGAAATATGTAAAAATTCGTGTATTTTGAAGTATTTCAAAAGGTGAAGGCCCCAAGTTTGATTTTACTTCTCTTGAAAGTGTTTATATAGCAGCATGTTTTAAAAAATCCGTGTTCACTAGATTAGCCAAGTGGGCCTGAAGTGTATAAACTGTTCCATTTTCTTTCCGACCTGTCCAATAATAGGTCTCCAATTCCTTCCCCCAGCCCCCAAGTGGTTCTTAATGGGCATTTTATGTTTTCCTCCGGAGTATATATATAATTAATTTTATTTATAGTGAAAATTAAATTGTCATGTTAAAATTTAAAATTTAAAATTGATTTATTTAAATAAAATATTTAAAAAATATAAAAATTGAAATAAAAGTAATTTAAATATCAAGAGTTTGAAATTTCTTAAATTTTTAACATTTATCATCCAAACACATCATTAATTAATATAATTATTTTCTGAAATTAAATAGAATTTTAGTTTTGAACATATAGTGAAACCTTTAGTTCTGAAATTAATAAACTTTTTGTATTTGATCAAATATCCGAAAACGCAAATTAGTGAAGCCTTTGTAACGCTGGTCCATTTGAAGTGTAATGAGAATGTTCTAGACACGTTAGTTAAGAAAGGGCCCAGCATCCTAATCCAATCTCCCAGGACTCTTTCAATGCGGTACTAAGCAATTGGGGGAGAAAATTGTATACAGCTGAATTCTCCTCAAACATTTCTAAAATAAGAAAGAAAAATAAAATAGTTTTTTTCTTCTAAAAATTAAAATTAACTTATATAAAGTAGTTAATAAAAGTTTTTTATATTCAATTTTATAAAATATATTTTTTTAATTTATATATAAACTAATATTAGCTTATAAAACATGATATTTCATATGAATCTATATATAAAAAATACTTAATTTTTTTATACCAAAATATAAGTAAAATTTAATCAAGTCAATTTCATTTAATATTTTTAATTTAATAATACTTTTAAAGAAATAAATATAAACATTTTAAATATATATATATTTTTATGTGAAATCGTAAAAATCAGATGTATTTAATTAAATTTTTTAATCAATGTCTTTTTTCTTATACGCAACCAACATCTGTCGATATATGCTTTCGCGGGCTCTGAAATTTGTGGCCTGATTCAGTCGAACAACGTTGAAGTTGAGATATACATGTGATTTTTCTAATCAGCCACCATTCAAATCATTAGCCAATTCATTTATTTGTCTCCCTGCCTTGAATTCGTAAAACTGTCGCATTTCTTTGTTGGATTTCTCAACACCTGTTTAGGAGGTCTAGCTGCTAGTCTACTACGTACACAAGACGCAGTTGTTAAATAATTTGTAAAATTAATGCTATCATAAACCAACTGATTGAGTTTGAATTTACGGTACGCATCTATTTTATACAGCATTTACAACATATTCTTCATCCCTTACATAGACTCTCGGCTGGTGAAGGAATTTTTGGCAAGAAAAATCTTTGGTTGATTGAGTAACTAAGACCCAGTAAACCTATTTGACTGCGTGTGTCAAAGGATTCTCGTTCCACCACTTATAAAATATATATATATATATATATATATATATATATAATTAAAGGCATTGTTGTGGAGGAGGGTGATCAAGAATTTTGAGGATTATCAAAATACTGATAAGCAGCAAAGTAGGTCTGAGCCACGGTAAGAATCAACAAAAACAAGGCAGCGAGAGCCGAGATAAAGGACCAGGGCGTATCAAAGTAGGTGTACTTGAAGCTAGCCCACTGCACGTGCCAACTATTTCTATAATACTTATGAACATCATTGAACAAGTGAGACAAGTAACACAAATCCAAATCAACCGCCACATCCTTCCCCGTGTTGTTGATGAAGCTCGCCACTTCACCCTCCGTTCCAAAGTGATTCTCAATCACGTTCCGCTCGCACAAATACTCCACGTCCCTATACGTGTTTATCAGACAGTCCAAGAGAGTCACATACGCCGTGAACTGCGTCGACAACCCACTGTAACACTGCTCAAACGCCACGCAGTTCAACAAAAACGAGCTCATGAAATCGTCCACCGTCAGGGTTGGCATCGAAATCACGCCGCGCCTGAACGTCACGTGCAAGAAACTCTCGCTAACGTTGCCGGGCGTTATCTTAATCCCCGCGCGTCGAAGCTTCGACACGCAGTGGATCACGTGCGTCGGCGTCACCACCCTTTTTAACGGCTTGCTTTCTTCTTCTCTTGGAATGAAACAAGAACGAACCAATTCGAGTAAATGCTTTCCCTTCGCGCTTGAGACTATGGCTTCGTCTGGCCGTTGCAACGAGTTGTTGAAGAAAACCAACGCCAGCGTTGAAAGTGTTAGGGTTGAATTTTCTCCGGGTAGTTTGGTTATTTCGAAAAGCTGGTTGAGAATGAAGAAAGGGATTTGGTTTTCGAGTTTGAGAAAATCCCGGTAAAAAAAGGGTAATATCCACGCCATGGTGACAAGAGGGTCGTCGGGTTCAAAGGGTACTAATTTGGCGACTTTGCGGAAGAGTTCAACGATGAAGCAACCGTCGAGGACCATCATTTCGATGAAGTCGTGAGAGTCGAGGTGGATGGTTTCGGAGTAACACTCTCTGGCTTCGCTTTCTAAGGGGGCTATGGCTTTGAATAAACTCTCTAAGCCCAAACGTTGGGTTTGTGTTGTTCTTGAGAGAAGGGAAGCGAGGTAACGCCACTTGTGTTCCTCGATCATGTTGAGACGAGGTTGGCCACGGTGGTATGGTCCTATGGACACGATACGAGGTAAGTAGGCTTTTCCGTTAGCCTCGACCAGGCTTTGGGGTACCCTGAAGATGCAACATGATTTCTTCCCCGCGGCTTTGCTTAGCAACTTGGGATTCTCCGAAATCTTTTGCTCCGTCGAAGCTAGCCTCTCTCTGTCTATTACTTTTTCCATGTCTATTATTGCGTGGTGATTGGCTTCTTCCTCCATGTGGTTACGTGATCACAGGGAGCAAGGAGGGCAAAATGATGTGAAAATGTTCATATGAGAGATTGTGTCTCCGCAAGCGGTGAAGATAAGAAAGAGGGATAATGTGACCATTCGTCACCAATAAAATTTGACCAGTAAGCGTATTTGAAATGTCAAGTTGTCCAGGGGTGAGTAAAACTTATAAAAACTATACTGAACTTAAAAGTTGTTCTCATGAATTGAACTAAATTAAATATTAATTCAGATGATCTGAACTGAACTATTTTTTTATATTATTAAACTGAACTTAACTATACTATAAAAACTTGAATTGAACTGTAATTTAAATTGTACTGAACTATTATGATATTTTGAATTGAATAATTTTGACTCGTTGATCTATCAAAATAGAACACATTTGCCAACTTTACTTTATTTTCCATTTTATTTAAATTTTTCAAAAAAAAAATATAAAATTAAGTCAAACAAATTCAGTAAATTTTAAGCCTAAAAATAAGTAGTCCAACATAGCTCAATTGATCTGTTAAGTTCGACAAAATTGATACAATTTTTTTATCACTTTTTTTTCTAAAGTTTTGGTTATTAGACTATCGAGTTAATCCATTAAGACATAACATGTTAAACACATTTAATTTTTATCCTTTTATAAAAATAGTTTAATTTTTATAATTTAGTTCAGTTTTATAGTCAGTACAATTAACTTTCCAACAGTTCAGTTCAATTTTTTTTAAACAGTTCAGTTTAATTTTTTTACAAATAGTTTAATTTTTTATAGTACAGTTCAATTCAGTTCACCACCAGTTGAGTTCAATTTTTTTTTGTCCACTTGTTGTCTTAGTACTGCCAAAAGAAAAGAGTCGTCTTTCCAGAAAAAGAGGGTGGGCCGCGTTAGCTTTGACTAAAATCAGAAACTTAGTTACACCGATATTTCTAAAGATTGACTCACCTAGAGATTTCAATTATGAACAAAAATATGCGACCATCAAAACACATATGTACGGTATTTGTTGATTGTAAATGTTTGTACTTCGGAATCTTAATGAATAATACTTGAATGAATTTTACATTTCCATTGAATCTTCTTGTGTTAGCATTCTTTTGTAATATTTTTACATTTACAATGAATTTCCCTCCTGTTGACGAACAAGCGACTTGGATTGTTAAAGGATATAGAATGTACATTAATATTTCAATGGGCCTACAACTAGAGACTGTATCTATTTGGGTTTTCTCCTGTTCAAGCATGAGGACCCAGAGCAGCACAATTTAGGTTCAATTGGGTTTTCCATTTATTGTTCTTACTCAGTACTGGTTAGCCCAACTGCTGTATATATATCTAATTTGGCAGGGTAATACATAGGACAGTCATACCTCTTTGCTAACTTAAGATTTATTACACCAATTTACAGAAACTGACATTTATTTTTCCTGATTATTTTCAAGAAATTGGAATAAAAGGAAGTTAGGTTTAAATAAAAATAAGACTTGATGTGTAACAAACAATGGATCCTGCTAATGAGTCCATATTAAAGCTATACAAGAAATCATTAAATAAAAAATATTTTTAATTAATTAACCAATGTATATTTGTCATGAATATAAAGTATAATTTTGTTGGTGTAATTACTCTGCTCTAATTTGTTGGTTACTAATTATTCACATTATGACGTTCTTGATGGACAGTGCCCTAATTCTATAAACTTCTCCCTTTCCAGAGAAGAACAAACATACGTCCAGGAGCACAAATTCGAAGGTTGCAAATGATAGTGATTGATCGGTGACAGCAAAAAAGTAAAAGCAAAGAAGCCACCTGAGGTGATTAGAAAAGGGAACAGCAACACCCAAAATCATGATGCAAATTTGACAAGTCGTTTATCCATTAAATAATAATAAAAAGGACCTTGGAAAAGAAAATAACATGAGATTAAACTCTTTAGTCACTGTCAAATTCCTCCATCCAATAGAAAGATCACCAAATTATTCCATCCTCTGCCGACAACTGCAATTCTCTTTAATATTCCTTCTCAAAAACCTGAGGAGTCAAAGATAGTCATTACAAATATACATTCAAATTCTTCTAAACAAAAATACTAAGTTTTGTTTTGCATATGATCTTCATGTTGCCCGAAAGCTTCCAATCCCTCATAATTTTTTCATAAATTAAAACACCAAAATAATTATAAGAATGAAATCAAGAAATGTAAAAATTATATTATTAAATTAAGAAAGGTGACTTACAGCATCCCCAACCTACTGCAAACACGAGTCATGTACATATATACCCAGATTATCTTTATGGGTTACTTTTTCTTTTTTTAATTACTAGCCTATCCCATAGTTGCAAGTCAGATATATTCTTCTAGGAAAAGAATAAAGATAATATTTCATACTAAGTTCCTCAGCTGCTTCAAAATTTAATTACCCCCAATTAACATACTAGTTCCTCCGAAAATTCCTCCACCAGAAAGCCAAAGATGGCAAGTTCAAGTTCCCCGGCCATGTTTCTTATCTGCTCTATATTTTTCTTCCACCCACCATCCTCTCTAGCGAAGTCGTCTTCTATCATCATATCAATCGTGTTAGACTCCACTTCTTTCCACAATTCAAACCTCTTGCTTATACGTCTTATCACCATGTCCCTATCTTCCAAGGAATGAAGTTCCCTCTCTTCTTCTATAATGAGATCAGAAACCAGCTTCTTAAAGTCCTCTGGGATTTGCTGTCTGTCATGGACGCTCGACTGCCACAGAGCTTGGGAAATTAGATCTCTAAAGTCATTTTCTTTACATAATGTTTCTTGGTTATCCCCATCTTCATCATCTTCTTGTTCCAGAAATATTTCATCCTCGTCCTCTTCATGGTCCTGCATTCTTTTCTCAAGTTCTACTGGATCCAACTCTGCCAGTTTCTCAAATCTACGAAGCTTGTACAATAACTGCTGCTTGGCTCCTGTAAAATTCAGAGCTTTTAGTAGCACATCTTGTGCTATAAATCAATTGACAAAAGAAAATTCATAACTTCACAAAATTCATAATCTTATAATGAGATTATCTATCATATTCCTAAGTATTTGTCTATCTTTATGCAAGATATTTGGTATATCGGTACATAATCATTCGATATATTAGACAAATTTTTAGGATTGATTTCTAGAGAATTCTTATGGATATTACTCATGTATATCATCATTAAGATGACTTGACAAACAATCTCATAATCTTATATCAACATTAACATGCAGTGTGGTAGGATTATAATACATGTAGAAAATAAGGCCAAACTTAACCATTGTAGAGATATAAGATTATATGTGTGTATCTAGTATTATTGCCAAAAGTAACACAAAGAAATTTGAAACATGGTAGGAATTTGATTCCTCAAATGTTATCCAACAAATTAAATGTATGCAATTATGACAGGTCTCCTATCGAGAAAAATAGTGGGTCATGTTAAAACCGATAAGAAATGGGGTTATATCTAGTTGGAAACGATCCACATTAAATGGGAAATGCCGTTTGGATGATGAGCAACTGTAATCTTTTAGATGGAACCCACAAAGATAGCACGGTTGAAGATGAGCACAATCACAATCACATCACTACATCAGCAATTAGCCCCAAGTTGTATTTTGTAACAGACAAGCAACTTTGAAGAAGGCGTACGACGGTGCGTTGGTGGAAAACGACCACACAACAACAAACAAAGAATAGTACCAAAAATAAATAAGCTGTGACATACTCTGTACAATGGCATAGCTGCACTCCAAATCAAAACCACCTTCTTCCTCCTCCCCGTTTCCATGCCCTTCGTCATCGTCCTCGAAGGGTGGGTCTAACACGCACACTGGACTGCACTGTTCTTTATCTTCCTCCTCTTCTTCCCCTGATTCCAATTTGCTCACCCTCTCACCTTCATTACTTTCTTTGTCCTATCAAAATCCACAACATTGTCCGAATCATAATTAGAATATAAAAAACGATAACATATTTATCAACACACTCTTTTTAACATACTAGCTAAAATATTACAAAATTCGGGAAACTTTATAGTTATAATAAATTTAGAACATTATAAAACTGTGTATTAAAAAAGATATAGATCAGTAACTTGTGTTACAACTTTTATTGATTCCTTTTTGTTGGAGTTGTTTGCTACAAGACAGGACAGGACAGGACACTCCCTCCCGGTAATTTAAACAAAATTACAAATGAGAAACTAGTTTGTAGTTAGCCGATGTGGGATCTAAAGACAGAGACAGAGAGGAAACAAGAGAAGAAACAAAAACATAATTTATCAACCTTTGACAAAATAATTTACGAAAGAAGCCAGCCATTGTAGAAGTGAAAAACACAATTTAGCAAAGAGAGAGGAGAGGTTTGCATGGCAGAAAGACGATGGAGAAGTACAATTATGAAAACAGAGGAAAACAAAACATGAAATTGACATATGTAACCCTCCAGTCCACACCACCGAAACAAACCAAAAAGGTAAACTCACCAAAAGGCAAAAAAAAAGCATAAAAAAGTAATTGTCATAAAAAAAAAAGGAGAAAAACCTGTGTTGCGTGGCGGGTGGGCGAGCGAAGCTCCGGCGTGTGGTGGGCGGAGGAAGGAGAAGTGGTTTGAAGAACAAAACGGAAAGGGGTTTGGCAGAAGAAGGTAGAGTGTTTGTGATTGGTTATGAAATGAATCTGTTGGGAGTATCCACTGCTTGAGGTTTCCATGTGAAGAGATTTATCTTGATTGGTCTGTGAGCAAACAGCAGTACTAGTGGCGTAAGCATTGGAGAGGTTTGTTCTTCTTCGAAGAGAGGAATCCTTGTCCCACCTCAAAATATCCTTGACCGAGAGCTTAACGCCTGGAGCCTCTATTTCCTTGTTCCGGGGATGGGTGCGTTGCGTGAGTCTCTTGTAAAGGGAGCCGAAGAGGCCCAAGGAGTGGGACTTGGGTTTGGGGCGGGAAGAGTGCTTGTGGATCCTCATGGCGGCTTCTAGAAGCAAAGCGGCGGTTCTAGAAGGGATGATAAATTTGCAGGGGCTTTTGGCCGGGGAAGCAAATTCGAATAGCGGAGATTTTCTGAGGTCTGGGGTGTCTGTGAAGGAAAAAAGACAAGCGCTTCTGCAGAGGTTGGCGCTTGACTTGCGTTTCTTCACTTGCAAACTTGTCTTTGGGGAAGCCCTTTTCATCTCGCTTCTCCTTTCGGAAATGTACTTGTTCAGAACGAACGGCTCTTGCTCCTCCTTTAGTAGCTCGTGTAAGTGCTTCTCAGCCATCATCCCAAACAAACCTTCCACTGCTTTCAACTCTCTCTTCTACCTGCCCCTGCCACTTGGGACTTGGGAGAGACCACTCCTTCATTCAAATCATGACGGGTTATAATATCGAGACAAGAGACTCATCAAGTGCTTTCCTCGTAAACCAATTATTGTAAAATAATGGGACACCAAATTAAACTCAAAACCTCGCCACAAATTCTAGGTGAGTCTCAGGAGTTAGGACTATAGGGGGACGCACATATTTCAATTTCAATACACGTACATAGTGTAGATATTTATAAGGCTATTTTTGTGTTTTCTTACAGCTGTGGCTAGTGTATTATTTTACCAAGAGGTTACTGGGAATGGGAATGGGAAGGGGTAGTTCCCCAGTGACAACAGTACTTGAATGAGGGAGACCAGATGTTGCATCTTTGGTTTTGTCCAAACGCCACTTCCCAGCGATTTGCGCCGAAAGCGCTTCTGGATTAAAAATTAAGGTGGTGTTGGTGAATGGTTGTTGTTAATTTGTGGGATGTCTACAACTTTTACGTATTTGACTCGTCATGACAACTTAACCTGCACAAGACATGTGGCTTGTCCGTATTATTGTTAATTTTATTTCTTGTTTTCAAATTAAAAATGTCTAGTTTACTACCCCCTCCCACGCTTCTCCATCTCAACTATATGTATGAAACTCACACATCAACGTCATGTTCTATTAATTGTATCCACTATCCAGGTTATTGTTTTATATGCAAGACAAGACAACGCATCAGTAAGCCCACCACCTCACTTAGAACAACATCAATCCAATGCTTGTCCACCTCGCTCTGTTACTTTAACATACTTAACATTTTGCAATTTACAATTCTAATGGAGTCAATTATGCAAGCGTAATCAATATTTACTTGAGCTTAGTGAAATATTGACCAACAGAATCATAGCATTATGTGAGCTGGCTCATCCATTTATTACAAAGCTCAATAGATGTGAAGACAAGTTTTACATAAAAAATGATCCTTGAGATCTTGCCAATTTTCATGAGCTAGTTAGTCACTTAGTTGAATACAAGATACCAACAATAATATATTTGGAAATTGAACTGAAAATCCGAAAAATGACTCAACTGTTGTTGTGAATCTGAGCATAGTGGATCAAATTCAAGTCATCAATACAAGGGTTGGACCAGGGAGAAACTAGGTGCAAGGCTACCTATTAACATTAAATCCTCCTTCGTTCTCCCTCTCATACTTCGTTGCAAGGTAATCGTAAATTTTTCATTGTCTCTTGAAATTTATCATGCCCATGTTTTATTGGTGGACGAGAGAAACTCTCAATTAGAAATGGAAGTGATTTTATTGCTTCATGTTTATTCGTCTTTTCATAAGATTATTGTAGATTCAGGACCATTCCCCCTTAAATCTATACAAGAAATTCTCAAAACAATTTAAACGTGTACATTTCATTTGTTCTCCCAACCCAACTTTTATAATTAAAATTAGGAAATTGATTATTTTTTAATTATTTTTTGGATTATTTTAAGAACATTTGATTAAATTTAAATTAAATTTTAATATTTTTCAAATAAATTATAAATAATAAATAAAAATAATTTTTGGTACAATAAAAGTTATTTATCTTAAATCTAAAATAAACATTACATATTTAATATATATATATATATATATATATATATATGAGGGGGTTTATAATTACATCAGTGTAAATTTTACTAAGTGTTACACCACTCAATAACTTTATATTAAATGTGAATTTTGTAA